AATCAGATTTTGGTGCATATAACTTAAAAATCTAAATCATTCAAAATCTTTAAAAGTCTATATGATTTAAACATGACTTGAGTAGCATCACAAAGGTATCACAATGTTACATTTTATTCACTTGTTGAAAATCAGCTTTCTTAGCTTTGGGGATAGTAATTTCAGATTATGGAGCTGTACTGGTTCATGAAGTTGATACTTTCTTTTGTAAGTCATCTTGCTTTCACATTGTGAATGCAAACTTTGGATTGCAAACACCGACTCTTTACAGATGTTAAAAAATATTGTAGAAAAACTTGGATTTTCTTTAAACTTCCATCGAGCAGAGATACTAGTGTTTTATTATCGCCTATAAAAAAATCTGTGTAGGAATCTGGAAGATATATATCAGTGGAGAAGGTTTTCCTGAAAATGGCTTTTCTTTAGTGTGAGAATTGGTGAGAAATCCATGGTAGTTATCAAAATTTACTGCAATYAGGCTTGTGTTTTGTGTGTTCAGAATCAGAGAGGTAAATGAAAGGAGTCGGGATGATTCAAAACTGTTGAAAGTCATGCTAGTARTAATGTCAGTCTGTTCTAATCTGCTTTTATTTTGATGTTAGGTTATAACAGTGGGTGAGTAATTTAGATAAGCAGCAAAGCTGTCCCATTTTCTTTGAAATAAAAAAAAATATTTTGAGCTTTTGTGTTTGGACAAAAGCTCAAAACAAAGACAATTTAATTGCAGTAAACCTTCCTGCCAAACAGCAAAAAAAGTCGATCAAAGAGGGGAGAGAAAAAAAGAAAAAACTTGCTTCTGGAAACTTATTTTAAGTAGATTGTAGCTCTTTATGCCACCACATGTGTGCTTTTAGTGAAGATACTCTGAACACTAGTGATGATAATAGGAGGAATGAAGCAGCTCATGTTGATTTGTGAACTGTCAGCTTTCACAAAGAGCCTGGGGTAGCTGCACAGCTGCCTTACGTTCATATTTTAGGCAATKGAAGGTTTTTTCGGGGGTGAAACTGCCAGAAATCGTATCTGTTGTTCTCGGCTAGGACTGTCACACACCACCTGCCTAACCACATGAACGTGCCTGGGCAGGGCAGCTGGATGGGCAAAGAGCACGCTTGGGGAGAGAGGAAGAAAGAGCTCCAGGGATGTTGTAGGAACAATTGCTGACACCAGGCGGAGTTTGGGATACTTGGTGATTTGCTGGGGAGCAAAGGTGATCAAGGAAGGTGATCAAGGCWGGAGCAGGTGGGTTGCATCTGCCCKGCTGTTACCAGCTGCCCCTGATCTTTGCTGAAGCTTGCCCTGTTTGTAGGGCAGTCCCATGCGCTGGAGTTTTGCAAACTCCATGGTTTTACAAAAAMCATGCGATGGTGTTTTGCCAACACGGGAAAGCTTAAAGAAAATCTTAGTGTTTGCTGTGCTCCTCTCCACTGCTCGCTGCAGATGCCAAGTGCCCGCGCCGAGGCTGACGCCGTCCTGTGCTGCGGCAGTGTCTGCATCTCCGAGCTGCATCTCCCTAACGTGGGAGCACCTGGTTCTCCTCCCCATAGTGGTAGGACTAGAAAACAACAGGGTTACCTCTTGTTTTGCATGCATATTTCAGGGGCAATGTTCTGGGATGMTGCTCTTTTGTGCTATATGTACAAGAGCAGGAGGATGAGACTAGAAATTTTTCTTTTCTTCTGTTTCTGCAGAATGAGAAGGGCAGTTTTGCTTTTGCTCTTGGTGACTTCTGATTTGAATTGTGGTGTGTTTGTTTCCTTTGGTATTGTGCTTGCTTATTTGTAATCTAGKTTGATGTTTGCTGCTTGAAGCAGCATCCGAAGAAGCCATCGTCAGAAGATAAATGAGCTGTCATTTAGAAGATACTGGAAAAAAATCATCAATAATTATTAAGATCTCAATGAAAATGCCTCTGCTACCCTCCTGGATTTTATATATTACTGATTTTGCCATCTCAYTGCCTTAGCTCAATGTGCTGAAGTCCTTGCATGGAGAAAAACATTTCCCTTGTTGCAAGGCACATGATCTGCAGGTGCATAGGCCTATGCCCAATATCCTGTGATGCAGAAATAAGTCAGTCAATTACATTTCTGTTGACTTTCTGAAACCTGCAATTTTGGACTCTACTAATATTTAAGGCCTACCAGGGTGGGCTCTGTGTGTGTGAATAATTTAAATTGAAATCAAGTTTGCAGCCTCCATCGCAGATGATTTACTCTTCTGTTGAAGGAAGAAGAATATGAAGGAAGCTCTTACCTCTGAAAATTTCCCTGCAATTTTCTTAGGCATAAACTTAAATTCTGAGTTGAGTAGTTGTCAATTAATGTGCATTTTTTTTAGCTGGTGATAATAAATAGCTAATTGGTGTTTTGTAGAGTGAWTTAAAATGTTGCTATAGAAGCTTTCCATGTCTGTAGTGTCTATTCTGCTTAACAGGGAAGACAGCAGTCTGACCTTTCTGATTCAGCTGCATGGCCAGGAAAAACATGATAAATTCAGCCTTGTTGATATTATTTTTGAGGAGTTTGGGACTTTGCCCACTCTTTTGCATCAATGYGTCTCTGATGTTGTCTCGTTGAATATTTCTCTTGTGTCAAAGCATATATCTAGGTCTCAGATGATTTGAATCTGTTTAAATTCTCAGTGATGCAATTCTACATGTGTAAATTAATCTGTAATCTGTCCAGTGTATAAATGTGTTTATAAAATACCATTCCCAACTTGAGAAAGGGTGATGATGGATTGTAAATAACAGGTGTAATATGTTAGCTGTACATATTCTTCCTTTCTCTCCTCTGCTCCTTTTCCACCCACTAAGCCTCCTAGAAATTAAGTTTCAGTCTTAAGAAATTAAGTGACAGAAATCACTGTATTTGTGGCAGTTGGTTCGTATGCATGTTGGTTTTTTTTTAATTATGGTTGTCTGTATGCACCAGTTTAGATAGACACTTCAGCCTATTAGTGGAAAGAGTTCCTTGTGACCTTTTTCCTCTTTTATTTTCTATTAAAAAAAAAATAAAATAAACTTCATCTACAAAATTTTAGCTAAAAATAAAAAAAAAGGTTTGAGTAATTTGAGATTTTGTTGATCTTTTCTCTGCTTTTGTAGGTGTCTAGAAGAAATCAGAGCGTTCCYGGAATTATAGTTTTACTGCTGTTTTCTTCCTATAACTTTGAATCATTATTAAGTTGTACCATAACCTAGTGGCTRTTCTTCCCTTGATACACATACGCCATTCCTGTTAGTGTTAATGCCTCTTGAACCACTTCCCTCATATTGAATATCTGCTGCTGCAGATACGAAACCTTGAAGTCTTATGAGTTGCCTGGAATGTGCCTGGCTTTATAGAAAGATGGATTTAATCTCATAATTCGCCTTTAGAATAGTGAAACTAAGAAAGATAAAATATTTTAACAAGAAGCTTTTACCTGAGATCTGGTGAGCAAATAAATCTATTGTTTGTCCAGGAAAAAGCAGTGGTATGCTAGRTTATCGGTATATCTATATCTCGTATACTATATATCTATATATCTAGATAAAATTTTATCTCYCCAAGTAGTCCATTAAGAATTTGGCCATAAGATGTGCTTACATAGGCAGTATAATTTCAAGGCATTATTTGGAAGAAAGGCACTACAATATTGCATTTATGACCATCAAGGAAAGTGTCTGATCTTGATCATTCATATCTCTGTGTCTAGATCTGTATTACATAAAAACTTTATAACCTGGACCACAAATCTGAAAGGGGGAAGGTGGTCTGGTGGTTTGGGTGACTTGATGACACAAAGATGTGATTAACCTGGTGTTTTCCCAGCTCTGAATGGGGAGCAGGTGGCTGCTCTTTCCAACCTAAATGATCCCATGAGTCTCTGATAGAGCTTGATTTACAGTCTTAAAGGAATTATCTTCCTGATGGTCTGTTTCTGTTTTTATGTATGGTCTGAATGAACCCAGACTTTGCAGGGTTATCTTGAAGGTAAACATAGTAACAACTTAAGTTGTTGATAGTGATATCAGTTTTGTGTTTGTATTGTTTAAGATATTTTTCAAATCATTTATTGTCAGATGATAGATTCAGTAATGTTTTATTTTTACTGGGGAGAATGAAAGTTAAAAATTATTTAAAGAATAATTTTGGTGAGACTTTTGAATGCTATCTATGAAAATACAGGAAAGCCTTTTCATTCTTCATGCTCCCCATTTCCCACCTGTCTGTCTTGATAAAGAAAAGGGTTTTTTTAGACATGTGTTCACAACCCTTATGTTATATCAGTGCCGTTTACATGGAAGCCTAGTGCTTGGTGGAGAGAAACTACAGTCATGATAAGAAATTGAACCAAAAATTATGACACAGCTTGGTTACTATTGATTTCTTTTTAAAATAATTTATGCAGTAGCAACCACAGGTTTATTAGTGGTATTATCTGTAGAATCTTTGTAATAAATTGTGATTAGTTATGAATTACTGTGATATATGTAGAGACTCCAGTGCATACCGAGCTACCTGGTTTTGCCTGGGGAAGAAAACATTGATGCTGCTTGCTTTCCATTCTGAGAGGTGGGAGAATAATATGGATAAAAAGACTGCTAGTGGGAAATAGATGAAACCACAATGATTGGAGTATCAGGATCTTTCACTGTAGGAATATTTCTGCTGAATTGATAGGTAAGCAAAGCACAAAAAAAGGCGACTGGCCAATGTTCTGTACTATACATCTCAAAAGTGAGCTGTGAGTTCCATGTAAACCTGCTGCTTCACAAACCAGAGCTTGCTAGGTAGGAAGGCCTTGCTTTGATAGCTTAGCAATGTGATCACTTTGTTCATTTAAAAGAGAAAAAATATTTTAAAGAAAAATATTTCATAAGCATCAGCATGTCTCATCTGCAGGGTCAGGAAAATGCATCTTCTGTTTATATTGCAGTTTTTATTGTGGTAGACAGTTGACTTCTGATTTTAATGGGCTTTCTTATGAAAGGTGATGTGTTTCTTTTGCAGAGAATTAATCTAGAGTTCTGGAGGCAAGATGGAAAGGATGACTTCATGAAAAATTTGTTGCAAAATTTGCTATCCTTCCTATCTTGGCCTTAAGGTAAGTGAAAATCCTGTATTCAATATATTTTCTAATGTTTTGTCTCATAGCTGTGCTATTCAAAAGTTATCTGAAGATGCATGCTCAGAATAAAACTTATTTTAAGGAGCTTAGCTGGAAAACTTAGTATTTAGTCAAGAGGGAGCTAAAGGTGTGAGTTCAGGTGTGACCCAAAAAATTAAGTCAGGCTTTGGTAATTAAACAGAACGACGGTGGCATGAATGCATATGTGTAACACAGTGCTTTGGCAAGTGTTTGTTTTTGTCTAGAAATGGAATATGCATATGAAGGAGGAGAGATCACTGTAATGGAATGGAAAATGTGAAATTAGAAAGGCAGCAAAGTATAAATAATTGCAAATTAGGCTGCAACAGTAGCTTCTGTATTTTGTGAGCTTAGTTGCAAACAAAATGACTAGAAGGGGAATTCACATTTTTGTTCTTTTTAATTTTGCTTTCATGGTACCATACCCCTGGTATGGAGAACAGGGAGGAGAAAAATAACACTGCAATAATTAAATATCTGGAGGAAATTAAGAGTCAGAGCAGAGTGTAAATATCAGCTGTCTACAGCTTTCATTATATATGTATGTGCTTTGATTTCTCATATATATGGAAAATGCATCCTCTAACTGCGTATTTTTGGTCTTTTCTTGCTCTAAAGTTGCTTAACTTAGTGTGTTCTGTGGTAAAATATGGCAAGCTTGTTTTGTGCAACCATTGCAGAAAATTATTACAATAACTTTCAACACAATTACCTGCAGGTGTCACTAGGCATTTTTAATCTGCACTAGGTGGGACTTTGTTTTAGCCATCCTTCATGTGACTGTTTCTTATGTCTTTATTCCTTCTCTTAAATCATTCCAAATGGGTAGGTGTCTTGCCGTGTCTTGAGTGTCAAGGTATTGGTGACATTGCTTGACTTGATCCTTATTTCTTAAAATTTAACTAGTCCTACTAGATATAATTGAAACCCAACCTTTTTCATGTTCAAAGTAAAGCCGTCAGTAATACTTTGAGAAGACGTAATGATCCTTCCTTACTGATTTATTGTGATTAAAATGTTTATAAGGATGAAATCATGTGATTCTAGAACTTACAAAAAATGTACTGGTAGGATATAATCAATCACAGTAAACTAAAGGTATTTCCAAGCCGTCCACGSAGTAGCCATTATTGTAGCTGTTTTCACTTGGTACTTCAAATAACACATTGCCTGTGGGCAGGTTCAGTGGGTGACCTGACAGAGATGGAGGGTTGGGCCTGTGCAAAAGTTGCTGTTCCTGAAAATGAGATCTCGTGGTCATAGCCAGAAYGGTGTTAGGTTCTTAAACTTTCTTCCTTCAGCCTGTTTGATGCCTTGGTGCTGCACGGGTGGTATCATGACGATATTGTGGGCTAGGCAGTTCAGTGTCCCCATTTAGACCGTCACCAGAAATGCTTAGAAGCGTGCCAGGAGAGGTAGGTCAGTCTGGGATTGACTGATTAGTGAATTGGTATGAATCTGCATTATTTCCTGTACCAAAATAACTGCAATAAAAACCAAACAGCATAAAATTCCTTCCCTTGTGCTGTATATTTTGAGGGGAAATTACAAAASTTTCATCTAGAAACAAGAAAAGAATTTTGAACTGTAGTCCACAGAGTTTCTGCTTATGGACATGACCAGAAGAGGTTTTTGAGACATGAAAGGTTCTGTGAACCTTGGGAAGTTGTGGTTATGGTATTAGAAAACAAATGTTTGGTTTGTAGCTCGAATTTGTCTGAGTTGGGCTGAAACACTGAAAATGATCCTCTTTGCCCTTCCTGTCTGCAGAGCCTCCGGCTCTCATATTTCTGATCCTGGCTTAGTTATGTAGACTGCTTGTTAGTCACGCCCAAACTTCCACTTAGATCAGGAGATGGATAAGCTCCTTCTGCTTTTTCTGTTTTATGAATATTTTTTGGTCATTCTCATGGTGGTTCTTGTAATCATTTCTAACCAAGCCCTTTCTCCAGGGACAGTCAGCAGACCAGGAACAAAAAATTGCAGAGRTCTTGAGAATAGCAAATATGGAGCCAATGCCAGTTCTCTGCCTGACTTACCTGCTGGTTCTCTGGACACAGAAGTTGGCTTTATGCTTGAGGATAGGCAGACAGGGGAGCTGCTTTTTTTGAATATAGATTTATATTGATAGTAAGGAACTTCTACTGCTTGAAATGTTGTTTTGTTTCCATGGAAGACCTTAAGAATTTGTGTTTCTGCTTCTGAGAAGAATTTCTTTTTTATTCATCTAGACCAAGTTTAGAGTAGTATTGCCTCATGTTGACTGTCACTGTGGACTGAAGAAAACTATCATCTGTAATTTTTAGTAATTTCAAAGGGCACTTTACTACTGCCAGCATGAGATCTTCACTGTCTAATAATAGGCATTTTAGATTTCTATTAATGTTGACTTTTAATAGCTCATTCTAAAAAGAGCTGTGCCTTATAATTATATGCTCAATCTTTCACTACAAAGCAATTATATGAATTGTGAGTTGACTAAAGTACATTAGCTATTAAAATTCAGAATGTTACTTATGATCAGAAAGGAAGTCATCTTGTTTAACACTTTATTTTTTCCATCATACATCTAAAAGGTGAGRGTGTGAGGAGGGGAAAGGAAGGAGGCCTGTTGATGGTTAATGGCTAATGAATAAACCTAAGAATACAGCTGTGGTTGCCTGGCAACCTAGGGAAGGATGTGCTGAGGACCCTTGCAAATATATAGGAGTGATAATTGACTCATCTGTTGAGCYTATGAGCACTGACTCCTGTGTATTTTGCATATTGATTCTTAATACCTAATCATAGCCAGGTTTCATTCGTATATTGCTTATTTTGCCTTTACATATTTTTATTTCTTTTTTTTTTTTTTTTTTAAAGACAGCGAGAATCGAAGCAAATCAAAACACTGATATAATGGAAAATGTGTTATGAATTTCTTCCCATGTGGTTATTTTGCTTTCAGGCCACATTTGGCAAGCAGTTTGCTTAAAAAGGCAAACTCACAGAGATCTAATGCCAGGTCAAGGGTATGCTTTCTGAGCCYGAGAGCACTCTAGAAATGGCCTTCATTATGCTAAATGCTCCAAGGAGATGAGCTGGGGATTGTATTATAATTGAGAGCTTTAGAGGATTGAGTTCTTTGAACGCTAAAAACAGTTATGAAATGGCATATCATCTTTGTTTTCCACTTGCTGTAGGAAAGGGAAGATTGGATGGTTCTTGCAAACTCTTGGGCTGCTTGACATGAGCTGCTCTTAAATGTTTTGGACCTCTGCCTTTTCCACCAGGCACCAGGAGAATGATGTATATACAGCTGCCATGGTATTATCTTGGGATTTTTTAAAAGGAAAAATCTCTCTTGCATCGACAAGAACAATAGTCAATTGCAAACCACTTGTGTCTATTATTTCTGTAATTGGTTGTTGAGGTTTTTTTTTTTGTTAGTAGCTGTTGATAAGGCAGAAATCTTTTACCACATTTTGCATGCTATGAAACCTGACCAGCTGTCCAAATAGATAGTGTTTGCATGGAAATGTTTCACTGAAAGTTGCTAAGAAATCATTTATGTTTACAGGATACTATGTAATTATCAGACTTTGAATTATCTAGACAAAAATAATTTTCATCCCCTTGTTTTTTGTGCACAAGCTGTTCTCTCCCCTCCCTCTCTCTGTACAGACACAAGGTAGCTGCCAGCTCTGTAGATTTACTTCCTTGTAACCAAAGATACTCTGAAAATGAGGTGTTTTGAGTAGTAAACCCTTGAGGCAATAGTCATTAGTAAAATTAGCTGTATCCTTCATTCTTTATGCTGTAAATTGTAGCTTCTGATTAACTATATATATTATTTAGTACTCCACACTTTGATGATAAGGCTTAGGCTTGCTACAGGCTATTGCATAATATTTTGTTTCTTGTGCTGGTTCATGGGAAGCTCTGATAAGCTATCATTCTAGATTATATTTCATGATAGCCTGTGTTTAGGAAGAGCATCTTTGCTCTGAGGTTGTTCATTTCAATCATCTGCATATTATGCAAAAGTCAGAGGGTATAATAGTTAGCTTAAATAAAATGGGCAGAGTTGAAGGTACAGCGTGGTGTCATAGTATTGCACAACTTCGGGGACCAAATATTTGAAGTTTTGGCTTATTCCACTATATAAGTGAAGGAAGAGACTTTGCATTCCTTCAAAAGTTTATTGCAATTCAAACAAAATAGTGAGGACCAATGCTTTTTTTTTTTTAATGATAGCTCTAGTTTCTAATTTCCTACAATCTCTTCATCAGCTGCTGTTGGAAAAACCTCTTCTCCCACATTTATAATGTTATTAGGGCTTTTTTTTTTTTATTTATTTTTTTCCAACCAAATTATATGATGTTAACAATTAATCATTGGTTATTTTGTTTGCCTGTAGGCTTTTGGAAGGGATGCAAATGTCATGTATCTTTTTCTGTGTTCCTTCAAAATGATGACTGATGTCTTGTGAAATTTGTGTTCTAAAAATTGAATGTTGAGGAAAACTTAAACTGTGTAGGTTATGCATTAAAATGATAGCTGAACTCCATCAGTTTGGACATTTCCAGCATATTTTTCATAGTTTGTGTTATTTTCTCCTCATGTGTCATAATGTAGTTTTTTGGTTTTTCTTTTCCACCTTCCTAGGGCTCCTATTCTCTGATTTTTTTTTGGTTACTCTGCTGTTTTCTGATTTGCGTAATATTCTGATACTGAGTCAATTTATCGATTAAGGCATATGAAATAAATGCATGGAGTGCAAGCAGGGAAGAGGAGCATGAGTAATGTATTTTAAATCTCATTTCCTATGTTGGTTCTGTATTTAAAAAAAAAATGCAATGTAAAAATAAGCAGTGCAATAACTATATYCTAGTAAATACTAATCTGACAGCTGTGTTTTCTAAGAGTACATCACCAGAAATTAAATTGGGAAAAATAAAACTTTACTGCAGATTTGGAGAGAAAGGGAGAGCAATACTAATCTAAAAAAAAATCTTTTGGGAGAGTGAGGTTTTGCCTCTCTCTGGAAACATACAACTCATTTGTGTTCAGAAGTATTGCACAGATAATTCAGCGATGCAAACAGCAGTAAAGAATAATATTCTGTCCTTGAAGTGCTTGAGATGGGAGGTTACTTACACTAAATAGTTGAACCAACTACTCTTGGGGTGCCAAAAAAAAAAAAAAAGAATTTTTCCAGTGTGCACCAGTTTAATAGCAATACCACGGAGAAGGTTCACTAGGCCAGAGACAGAGCCTTGGCTTGGGTAGGCCAAGTGCCATGTCGCCCACCCATCCAATTGTGCAGGAAAGCAGCTGAAGTCTAATGAGATGTGCTTAACTGCAGACTAATGAGATGTGCTTGATCTACAGGCTGTAGTAAGCAGATGTCGTGTGGAAATGTCTTACTGGAGAGGAGCTGTAGGGTTATAGGATGCTGAGCGTGGGCTCTGTGCKTAGCTCGTCGTGCAGCCCATTGAAGAGGCCCCGCTGAGCTAGTGGCTTGGTTCTCCTGGTCCCGTGCTCTGTGCATCTTCGGGAGCTGATGAACTCTGCTGGYATAGCAGAAAACAGAAAAGTGATATTTGAGGAAAAAAATAAATTTARGTTTTATTTTATTTTTCTTGCCAGTGAAGATGTAGGTTGACCAATTTGATTTGGCTCGTTGCAGCTTCGGAGGAAGACTGGACAACATGAAAAAGACAGCAGGTCTGCTTGCTGTAAAAGGAAAAAAAAGGAGTGGCATTACTGTTTTGATTACTTTTTTGTCRGTATGACCTTTCATTTGCTAATAGGAATATATGTATCTGAAATATAGATCAATCTTCTCATGTAGAGACTCTCTGTTTACCCTGCACGATGATATGGTGATGCTCAATTTTCTTACTTTGCTTGTTCCAAAAGGGAACAGTTTTCCACTTTGGACAGCCAATGGGATCTATGTATTTCAATTCATTACATTTCATGAAATGTCCATCTTGCAAAAGCTATGGAGTGGTTCGTAGTGCAATATTGCTTCTCTATTAAAAACAAAATGGRCCTTTATCTTACTGTTCTTCTCTTGGAACAATCTTTAGTGACCAAAAGTAAGTGAGAATATTTCAGAATCTGAGTTTTGTTTGTCTTTAATATCTGTCTCCATTTTTAAACTCTATTTCATACAGTCTGCTTGTTATAAAATCTTAGATAAGTGTCTGGAGCATAAGCTGAATTGCTTAAACCACAGTGGTCCCTAGCTTTGCTAGATATGTCTTGAGATCTGTGTTCATGTTCCAGAGATCTAAACTCAAGGTCACTCATTTTGGRGAACACTGTTAGATTCTAAATGAAAAATACTTTCTCTACAAAAGTAAGAAGAATGTTGTGATTTATTTATTTTTAGCAAGTAAATTTTTGATCTGCTGTTTAGGTTCATGCCTCCTAATGTGAYCTTTGAATAGTAAAATTTACATTTTAATTGTGCAAGATAAAGTTTAGTGTTGGTTAACACTTAACATTGCTTGCCAACAAATATTAGAAAAAGTACTTCTCTTTTTTCCTTTTTTAAAAAAAATATTTACTTTCATCATTCAATTTATCCTTTGCTTTCAGTTTTAATTCCAAATTTTATCAAAAGTAGGRATGATAGAAATTAATTGTGCAGAGATTTTTGTGTAAAACAAACAGCATAYTTAAAAGACATTTAAGTCCACTGCCATTATAAATAATGGAGTAGACAAGCAGCAAAATTATCTTTCGTGCTAAGAGTTGATATATTCTTGGTTACTATCATTTGCAGACCCAGATAATAAAGTATCATCTTTCATGCATCAGCTCTTGAAACTTGTTTGCATAATTTMATTTTCTTTAGTATTGAAGAGACCAAATTAGATGGAAAAAGAAGCTAATCCTTTTTCTTTTTTAACTGTCTTTTATAAACTGACCTCATAGTAGTCTCTATGTAGCTTTGATTTCTGTGCATTCATCTTTCAGCTACTAAACAGTCTGCCTAAATTATTACTTTTACACAGACTCATCTATATTTTCATTAAGTAGCAAGTCTAGAAACAGCACAAGAAAAGCAGAAAGCCACTGTTGATTTTGGTTTCTAATAGTTTTTGAGGTTCTGTTGCTAAAACTCAATGAACACCAAGGAATAGGAACTTAGAGATATTTAAGGAAATGCTTCAAAAATGACATCTTGACAAAGCATCTGTTTTCTGTTGAGGGGAAAAGATATATCTGTTTGAAAGCTGTTGATGTTCTTGCCTCAATTTTGTGAATTAGGTCACTGAAGGGAGGAGAAAGGGGGAGAGAGATTTTACTCCATTCCTTGTGGCCATAAAGCAGTCAAAAAGAGGGAATGGACTGGTTGTCARCTACAAGACACTTGGGAGAATGGTTCTTTCCCGCGACACACTTTGAAACTCCGTTAACATCTATCAAGTTTTCACAGAGACTGAATCATACAATTATTATAGCTAAACACCTTCTAAGAGTTTACAGTTCAATTCCAGATAAGATACATATTACACRTTTTGCAATTTCCCATGTGGCAAGTGTCCTCTTTATTCATTTTTGGGGAACACCTGAAACAGAAGGCTGTTTAGGAAAAGAACAGTCTTTATTACATTTGTATAGTATCTGTTTTCACTTTTGAAACACACGACTGACAGCAGCTGTCACGTGTTAATGATACTTGGCTTGCAAGATTTACATAAAACACACAGATTCTTCAGGTGACATGAGAGTAGTTGGGGCAACACTTAAAGGAAGCCTTTGCTTTTGTGACGTCTCTCCGGTTTTGCAAAGCTACGCTAGAAAACTTCTCTACGTCATACTTAATAAACATTAATACTGATGGTGAGTAGCCCATTTCTAATAGCATTGTACTTATGCTCGTTATGTTACATTTGTAGTGAGATGCAGTGATATATTTGGTGTGGTTCTACACAAAGCACAACGCTTAGTTTTTCTGTCTTGTAACACTGATTGCTATCGTCATCAAGTTATATTTCCATTTGTTCTCTGTCAAATGGTCTTGTTAGGCTCGAGAAACACTGTTACTGTACTGTACTGTAGCTATATAGTGCAGCATTCTTCTGGGAGCTGAACAGAAACCCGGCGCTTCCACATTTGGATCTTCTGGGAGAGAGTGGATGAATTAAGAACACGTCCTCTGGAAACACTCCATTTAAATCACTGCACATAATTGAGCATGAAAAATGGTTTTAGAAGAACATTAAATCCAGATAACCATTTCTCACCATTAGTTGCTCTTGCTGGAAGAGGGAGTGTGAAAACTTGAATTTCTTTTTTTTTGCACTGTTACTGCTTGTAGACTCATCTTTGAAGGAAGAGGTATTTTGAGCACTGTCACTCTCATCTCTTAAATTCTTAAAAATATGAAATAAGAGTCAAGAGATGGTAATGTGATATCATGTTCAAACTTAAACTATAAAATACTTTTGAGGTGCTAAAAGCTTAGAATCTGAATCTTGCTCGTAAGAAGAGYGTCAGTACTCAGCAGCTAAGTGTAATGATTATTTCTGTAGCTTTAAACCTCTGTTCACACTGGAAGTAGTAACACTCTGTGCAGGGGAAAGACTAAAAAATGCTGATGAATAAAAATTATATTCACCTTGCCAAGACCCATATAAATTCTTGTTTTTTTTTCCCCYGTCCATATTTAGAAGTTTCAGTAACATAGGGTATTTAAATGTACTTGTCTTTTAGGAGATGTCCAGTTTGTGTTCAGAAAAGTCAGGAATGCTTTAGATGACTGTCTGAAGAGTTAGAGTCCAGTTATAGGCAGGGGGAGACCAAGTGACACAATCCCTATCTATGTGACTTGCCTACAGAGACTTGACCTGTTGATGGTACCCAGCTTTCCTTCTGAAGGAAACTCCAAAGTTGCCTTTGGAGGGTTTTAGGAAGTGAACTGGAATTCAAGGAGTGAGGGGGATGAGCCCACTGGGCAAGCAGAAGTTGGTAACTGTTGATTTTAGCCAGGTAAGGTAAATAATATTAGGCAAGTTTCTTACTGATAAGAGATGTACGTTCTCTCTAGCCTGATGAGCTATCTTAGGAGGTTCTGGAACAACTCACTCAAGAATTAGCACCACAGTCACCTGGGTCGGGGAAAAGGTCAGCTAACGTGTGCTTGCTTTGCTAGCTAAACATATAAGATGATGGAAGGTTATACTGGTTTTCAGGCTGTGTTGTAGCTGTTGAAGGGAGACAAAAAAAAAAAAAAAAAGAGACCATTGCCCAAGAGCCAAGGGGGGATGTTTTGGCATTGGGTTGAGGTGTCACCATGTGCCCTCTGTGCTGGCAGAAAGATTTCCCAATTCTTTGCTGGATTGTCCTGTTTGAGGTACTTTAAAACTGATCTCAGGACAGCTTCAATATATTGACAAGATAAAATCTTTCAATAGATGGGGATTTTTATGAGGGATGAACCTGATGGAAGATAGGAACCACTGGCGGTAAATTTGGAGCCTTGAGCAGATACCAAGGATTACAGGGGCAAAAAAAGTAGTGAAAGCTCAGCTAAACTAACAGAAAGAGAGCAATGAAAGGCTTACCRAGGCTTTTCAAAGCTAATAAGCTGACTTTGCTTCTCATTGGTCTCTTGGTAAAAGCTTTTCCTATCTGTAGAAAAGTAGGTTTTACACAACTAACATCATAGTTGGGCAAGGATACACATTTTTTCCTGCATATTTCCTTGATTTTTGTGAGCCTAGGAAGTACTTAATTTACCAAAAAAACAGATATGTACAACACAGAGATACAACAAGCTAGTTGTATGTCTAAGTGAGGAAACTGCATAGTGCATGTGCACATGAAATTGCCAGAAAGTTTCTAGTGTACCAGTCAAGCATTGCTGAAGGGCATAAATATTTATTTTATCTCCTTGCCTGTGATAATTAGCTGAAAGGAGTGTTATTTCACAATGTCAGTAGGGAGAATTCAAATAATTCTTTTTATCAGGATTTTTTGCTTCAAAACTTCTACTTTAGAGGTACCTTTTTACCCTGAGTGGTATTGAAAAGTTAATCATTTGATGGACTATTTCCCACTTTGTTTCTGTGCTAAGAAATTATTTTAGCACTTAGTAAAAGAAGGGGAGAAAAAAGCCACGAAGGTCTAGTTTTAGTAGAGCAGCCTTCTGCTGGATTAGAGAAGTTTAATGGGTCAACAGGGCCATCCCAACTGCATCAGAAGTTATCTCTATAGAAGAAAATACCAAATATTACATAACTTGCACTCCAAATAATTTTATCTTAAAAGTTTACATGCTTTTGCTGGTGAAGGAAGGGAAGAGAAACAACATGACTTTTTCATTCATCAACCCTTGGTGTCTCACAGGCAAAACAACCTAAAAATCACCATGTTAAAGCTTTTTCTGTGGGGACTATCTTTGTGAAAGAGAGGGGAAGGGTGACTGTAAGGCTTTGCTTTTCAGATTTTGCCTCTTCTTTCTTGGAAAGGTATTTGCCTATGGCAATGCCTATGGCACCGTGTTGGCCACGACCATCTCTACCTGTGCAGAGCAGTGGCCGCAGAGTTGCCCCTTCTCAGTGCTTGCCTTGATGGCCATCACTTGACGCTGCCTACAAGTAGGAGCAGAGATGTTACAATCTGATTGTGCCTTTTCCGAGAGCTCTGGTGTTTGGAGAAAAACACCTGCCACRGGTACAGTTGGGAGAATCGCTGCCAAGTGAAAGCAGAGGGCGGGGAAGGAGCCAACGCGAGAGGCCCTGGCGGTGTCACCCGCGGYGCGCGCGGGCGATCAAAGCCTCTGATGTCACTTGCTGGAGGAACAGGTCGGGCGAGCGCAGGAGGTGGTGTGGGAAGATCCGCAGCAGCTGTACCCCTGCCCGCGGMGCCAGGTCGGCCGTGGCGCGGCCTCGAGCAGCTCCTGCCGTGGGCGATGGGGGAGGACGAGGGCGGCGCGGCGGCCGCGGCGCAGCCAGGTGAGCGCCTCGGCGCGGAGCTGCCGCGTCTGCTTGGCGGTGTGCTTGCACACGCGTGGGATTGGGGGAGAGGAGGAGAAAGGGGGCCTGTGCATCGAGGTCTTGCAGCGTGGCTCAGCGCGCTGCGGCCGCCTCTGGAAGGTGCTTTGCTCAACTGGGCACCTGTTGCACACGAGCAGGTCTGGGGAGTCGGGATGTGCTTGTCCCTTTTTGTCCTCGTTTCACCTGGTGGGGCCTTCTTCCCAACCCTGCAGGCTCTGCTAGTGCGGCACGGACACGTGTAGGTCAAATAGCCCTTGCAGGTGCTTCGGTGAGCAACTCYGTTCTCCCTCCTTGGTGCTCTAGGTTCCTATGGAACCTGAACATGACTGCTGATGACTTTCACCTAGGCTGTGTTCTGCACTGTTAACATTAAGGCTTTGCTTGGAGACAGACTGTTATCCCTGTAGCCCTCTTTACTTGCTCYATCCTATCTTGCTCCAAGAGACTGCTGTAACATCCCTGGAAAGAATATTAGAATATTCCATTATTTTTTGACCTTAGCTTTTGAGTGTTTTGAGGTTTTTTTTTTTTTTTTTAGCCTCTTT